CGGCGGCCCCAGGGCCGGAGGCAGCTCCGGGCTCCTTTACAGCTGAGTCTGCGTCGGGGCGAGGGCGAGCGGCCCGATTCTCTAAAGCAAAACAGAAAGGGGGGAAAGAAGAGGCAAGGGGGACCCCAGGGACGTGGAGGCGGCGGGATGGCAGCGGCGCTGAGGCCGAGCGTGACGGCTGGTCGCCTGCTGCTCCCGGGGGGACCGGCTGACCACCCTGGCCGGAGGCGGCGCCCCTCATCCGCCCTGGGTGTTCCAGAACGGCTGGACCGACTTCGGCCTGCCCTGGGGAGGTTCACGGGGACGGGGGCTGACTGGGAAACTGAGTCACGGCGAGGCTGGCTGGAGAGCTGCAGTGGAGAAGTGGCGGAGAGGAGAGGAAGGGTCTACCGCTGACACGTGTTGAAACTCTAGGACAGGACGGAGGGTAGGGGGTGAGTTCCGTGGTGGGAAGAGTCGAGCCCTGCAGGACAGGTGCTGTGCCTCGGCCATCCCCATAATTCCTGCGCTGAGCGGAAACCCTGGCACAGGCCCTCCCCAGTCCGCTACAGCCTCACGGCAGCAGTGGAGGATCCGGGCCTCGCTTCCTTTCAAACCTCCTGGAGGCCTTAGCAGGGGTTCCCATTCCCCTGTATGCTCGGCAGAAGTAAGAAAAGCAGAGAGAAATTTGGGCTACACTAGCCACCACTCTTGAAGGCTCTGACCAGTGGTCACACTGTTCACATTCACTTCTCCTTTAGAGCGCGAGGAGGGAAGGCAGGTGTGTCCAGCAGAGGTCTGAAGGGATCCGGCACCTGAATCCTGGGAGTCCAAGTGACCACCCCACTGCACCTCCGGAGGAGATGGTTACATGGGTAGCCCCCGGTTAATGGCCCCTAGTATTCACTCCTGTGTGGTGCTATAGTCCCCTCACTTTGATTCTAAAATGATGCTGTGACCAGCTTTAATCAACAAGATGTGTAGAATGAATGCTGTGTCAGTTCCAGGCCTTGACCCTGAGAAACCAGGCAAGTTTTGCCCTCTGGAGAGCCAGTGCGGTTAGGAGCAGGTCACCTGCAACAGGCAGAAGTCCACAAGCAAGATGACCGAAGCAGTGTCATCCAATGCCGAAGTGTCAGGATCATGCTTTCCTGCACACAGGCTTCACTCCCCGACACCACTGGACACGCCACCATTCCCGATGGCTTGTTCCTCTTTCTTGTATGGGCTATGCAGTCTTCTCAGTCAGTCAAGGAAAATACGACCCATCCAATCTGTATAGATTCACTATTAATGAAAAGTCACCACAATTCTCCCCAATTTCTAGGACAAGCTTAGAAAGAAAATTATATTTAATATATTAAGGTGGGTTCACAAAAATACCGCAACTCCAACCACAGATCTTCATCCATGGACAATTCCTGAATTGATCTTTATTTCCTATTTACCTTCCTACCTTCTAAATGTGCTTCAAGCAGGTTGATAAGTCAAAATATGAATTATGACAGGTTTTGTTAATGGCCAGAATTGCTAGTGTATCATCACATTTACTGCATGTTTTAATGGCACAGACGCTTGTCCTCTGCCATCTTTTCACCTTGTCAGTCCAATCGTTACTCCTGCTTGGGGAAGGGGATGTCAGATCTACTTTTTAATGTAGCTACCTCTTTGCTTACACCCATAAGGGTTATAATATAACATTGTATATAATGTGATTTACATGCTAAAACATTCTGATTAGCTATAACTTCTTTGTAATTTTTGAGTTCTTTGTGTCACTGTGTACATAATCAAGGAGGCATTCCATTTAAACCTTTGGTTAAAACTAACTGGAATTTTGCTCTTAACCAAATTATGACTAGGTCTGATACTTACCTCTTTGTTTGAAGACTCCAATGAAATTTTATTTCCTCTCACAAATGCTAAATGAAAATAGTAGTAAAAGCAGGATGCTCTGTAAAGAATTTTTTTTTTTTTGTCTTTTTCGTGACCGGTAAGGGGATCGCAACCCTTGGTGTGGTGTCGCCCTCACCGCACTCAGCCAGTGAGCACACCGGCCATTCCTATATACGATCCGAACCCGCGGCGGGAGCATCGCTGTGCTCCCAGCGCCGCACTCTCCCAAGTGCGCCAGGGGCCGGCCCAAGAAATAGTTTGACTATCTTGTACCTTTCAGGTGAAAACAATCAACCATGGACTCACAGTCAACTCTTCAAATCAGGCCGACTATCTACATTTTAGTTCCATGTATATTTTTGCTAAATTTTGTCTATGTGACTACTCTATTTTTCCTAGTTTGACCAAGTCTAAAAACAACAACTTCTTAACTATATTAATAACGCATCACTAATGTATCCCAAAATGCTAAATAGGAGGAAGAGCTTTGTTTTACACAGACCACTAAAGAAAACAATGACACTGTATTAAATTGCCTAGTAACTTTAGCATGTTTCAATACCATGCTTGATGCATTTATGCAAAGTAGGTGCAAAACAATTCCTATACTCCGAACAAATTGCTCGAACATCATTTAACAACTTACAAACGAACTAAGAGGTCAAGAAGCAAAACAAAATAGAAAATCTAATTAGCTACAACTCTTTCTGAAGAAAGAGACAAGTTCCTGCAAATATTTTATGCTATTTTCCATCCATAAATAAATGCTATGAACAATGCAGTAATCAGCACGTTTGTGCTGCTGAGAGCACCTTCTTAATTGCTTTTATATAGCTCCACTATTATATCGGGAATAATTTTTCAGCTCGGACAAACCCCAGCTTTGTCACAGTGATCTACCTTAAAACCTTTTAACAAAAGCTTAATTTTGTCTTATATTGACAGAGACTTCTTTGGTTCAAGGAATCTATTTTTGGTTAAACGCACTAATATTTATATTTTTATTTGAATGCGGTTATCCAGATGTGCCCACTTTGACAGCGTGGCTGCTCCTGCTCCCTGACCCGTTGTCTTCTGCCCCTACTGCCTCTAACACGAGGACTCCTCCAGGCTGCTCCTGGAGCTGTGGCACCTGCTCAGCAGAGCAATTACCTGGCACCACAGGATCCCCACCACAACATCCGTCCATTCAGAGAGCACTTCAGCCAACGCCCTGGGTAACGAGGCCAACTCCCCAGGGTTATGGTATGATTCTGTATGCAGGAAGCCTGGACTAATTATTGTGTTCTCCCCTGTTGCAAACATACAGCTACCCCCCTGCAGTAGAGCCTCCTTGCTCTCCAGAGGCCATGCGACCTGTTCCCATGTCTAAACTTTTCTCACTCCCTTCACTTCTTTTCTCCAAAGCCCCCGACATGCTGCTGCTTGGAGCCAACTCCATGGAGATCAAGGGAGCTGGGGGAGATGGTGGCAAATGTTCCTGTTCCTCTTCCTGTTACTTTCAGGGTTTTGGCTGCAGTTCAGCATTATTAGACTTAAATAGGCTTCAGTTGGCTAGTCTAGGATGAAATGTGTTGTGGATTGGATTGTGTCCCCCAAAAAGATATGTAGAAATTCTACCCCTTGTTACCTGGGAATGTGACCTTATTTGGAAATAAGATCTTTACAGATGTAAGATGTAAGTTAAGATGAGGTGTTACTGGAGAAGGGTAGGCCCTTGATCCAGTGTAACTGATGTCCTTATAGGAAGAGAAGAGCCCCAGAGACAGACACGGAGAGAAGATGCTGCTGTGTGAAGACTGACACAGGGGGCAGAAGGCCGTGTGGTGACAGAAGCAGAGCTTGGAGTTACAAAGCTGCTCGCCAGGGAGCACCGAGGACTGCTGGCAACCATAGAAGGTAGGAAGGTGGGCACGGCACCTTCATCTCAGACTCTTGGTTTCCAGAACTGTGGGAGAGCAAACATCTGCTGTTGTAAGCCACCCTGTTTTTGGTATTTTGTTACAGCAGAGTCACAAAGAAGACATACAGCATCCAACCTGTTTCTTAACAGAGTGCATCTCAGACAATTTATCTCCCAATCCAAATAACTGGCAAAACATCAAAAACAAGATTTTTTATTAGATGGAGCAGCCTGTGTTCAACTGTTGTTCTCTTTTGAAACAGTGTGTTTTTAAGTGCATAATTGATCCTTATTTTTCTTCTTAATTTAGTGGAAGAATGCTTTCTAGCGAACCTGTTGTAGGTTAGGCTGAAGTGGAGTCTGGGTTGCAAGTTGATTGGGATCAGCAGGCCTGTGGAAGGCAGGAAGCAGGACTGGCAGAGGGCCTGGCCCACCTGGCAGGGGCTCTGTCCTGAGCGCTGCCCATAGAGTGTCTTCTGCCAGCTCATGTGGCTGGGCCTTTACACCCTGCCCGCCAGTCCCCAGAGACGTGTGGCCCGAGGAGGGGCGTGAACTCAGGCCAGCAGCTCTCTGCTGCTGGAGCTGCCCCTGAAGGCACTGGCAGGTGAAGGCTGCTGCCGACTGTTGAAGGGCCATCTGGGCAGCAGGCCTGTCACCTCCTCTCTGTGGTTCAAGGTAGAGCTGCTAGCACATAG